AGAGATACGAAGTTAAATTGAGCCTAATATTTATTAGAATTGTTACTAATATTTATTGTAGGCGTTAATTATTACTCTTAATAACATTTTGCTGTTGTTTGTGGTTACGTAGCCTTGATGAAAATAAGTCACGAATGACATGGCTTTAAAGTATATTATTCTTTAACACTTGGGATCAACGAAACGCAGCCACTAGGGATTTTTGGTTTTATTTCTTGATAAATATTGTCTGAAACATAAGTGTAGTGATAGGTTACGTATGACGTACGAAAGGCAATTTAGTTACCTTTAAAATGAGAATATTTTATAGTAAAAGGAATATATATTTTTTTTGTTATAAGCCTGTATATTTTACTAGCTACTTCCGCGCGATTTCACATGCTTTTCTCGGCTCCTATTAGTCGTAGCGTGATGTCTTATAGCCTATAGCCATCCTCGATAAATGCGCTATGCAACACAAAAAGAATTATTCAAATCAGACTTGTGGTTACGGAGATAAGCGCGTTCAAACAAACAAACAAACAAGAAACTTCCGCTTTATATATATAATATACGTATACGATTTAAGTTTTGACCATTTTCTAATTATAGTTGACATTGTGTTTTTTTCTATGAGATGTTTGTCAACGATTTTATATATTATTTTCATCATATACTTAATTACTGTTTTGTGTGCCTATCGGCGGAACATAATTGAACAGGTTCACAGTGCAAGGTTTCTAGGGGTTATTCTTGATGAACACCTTACATGGAAAATCCATATAGATAATATTTGTAATAAGATTAATAAGTTTATCTTTGCTTTAAGAAAGGTTAAAGACGTTACATCAAGGTATACGGCTATTCTTGTTTATCATGCGTATGTTTGTTCAATAATTCGTTATGGAATAATTGTTTGGGGAAATTCTACGGATATTTCTAGAGTGTTTATAGCGCAGAAAAAATGCATTCGTGCAATATTTAATTTGAAATGGTCTGAATCCTGTAGGCCTGTATTTCAGTCTAATAAGCTGTTAACTGTCCCGTCCATTTATATTTATGAAATTGCTAAATTCATAAGAACCAATCCTTCGCTTTTTCAAGTTAAAGATAATGTAAATAAGAGAAAAGCAACATGCGTACTTCTTCAAGTGCCTTCGCCTAGATTGGAGTTATTTAGACGGAATTGTGTTTATATGGCTCCTCTAATTTATAATACGTTGCCTAAATCTATAACTGAACTTCCGTATAAGAAATTTTGTAATGTATTAAAGCAATGGCTAATTAAAGAAAATTACTACTCAATCCACGAATTTTTAGAAAAAAACAAATGTAAATCTTTTAGTTTTAAAGAAAGAAATAAATAAGAGCAGTAAGTGTACTTAGTTTATGAACCAAAATTGTAGCCTTCATGTATTTTATTTTAATCTACAGTAAACATCAAATGTAACCAATTTGCATGCCAATAATGGTAAATGTGCTGATCTAATATTGTATGTAACATCTATATCATGTACCACATTGAGCAAATAAAGAATTATTATTATTATTATTATTAT